CCCAGCCCTGCTAAGGAAACCCTCGCGCTGAGCTACAGACCACACAAACCACAGCCCAGCCTCCAGGCTCACAGAGAGACAGGTTTTCCGCATCTCCGAGCTGCGTTGCAACACCGACGCCAGGGGCTGCTGCAGACCACGGGGCAGGGAATCGTAGAATCATAGAGCACTAGGACTGGAAGGGACCTCGAGAGGTCACTGAGTCCAGTCCCCTGCCCTCGTGGCAGGACCCAGTACCATCTAGACCATCCCTGATAGACACTTATCTAACCTACTCTTAAATATCTCCAGTGATAGAGATTCCACAACCTCCCTAGGCAATTTATTCCAGTGTCTGACCACCCTGACAGTTAGGAACTTCTTCCTAATGTCCAACCTAAACCTCCCTTGCTGCAATTTAAGCCCCTTGCTTCTTGTTCTATCCTCAGAGGCCAAGGGGAACAAGTTTTCTCCCTCCTCCTTGTGACACCCTTTTAGATACCAGGGAAGGGAAATTTGATTAACAGCTTAGGGCATGTACCTGAATTATGCTGCTGGGTAGTTTGGCTGCCATGCTGAGCCCCAAGCAGTCTAGGGCAGTGAGACTCAGCCAGCGGTATGCACGCCCCAGGCAGGCAGAGCTCTTCCAGGGGGTACATCAAATTGTCTCATGATTTGCCTGGCTTTCAAGCAGGCGCCATAGACCACACAAGCAGAGACAGAACATGCTAACATTGCAGACGGACAGTACCCTGCGTCTTTGCACCTTGCGGGGTGGGAGGGGGGGGTGTTCCATGCTTTGGCACGGGAGGTTTGCATGGGGGATGCTCACTAACAATCCTCCCCGCCAAAAAAAACCCTATTCCAATCTTTTCCCACCCACACCCAACAACTCTCTGAGTACGCACCCAGGACACACCCCACAATTTCCTTCCATCTCCCCCGCCTCCCCTGTAGCCCCAACTCCCCCAGCCTTTTGCCCTGCTTCTGGGGGTGCAGGAAATGCAGTTCGGAAATGCAGTGTACAAGAATTGTTACTCACCGTTCTGTGTTAATACGTCTAGCAAGGAATCCACTTCTCAAAAACCATTTCCTCAATCTTTTTAGTTGTCGAAGGGTATGTCTACACTAGCCCCCTAGTTTGAACTAGGGAGGCTAATGTAGGCATTCAAAGTTGCAAATGAAGCCCGGGATTTAAATATCCCAGGCTTTATGTGCATCTTCCCATCTGGGTGTCATTTTTAAATCCCCTTAGTCTGAACTAATTGCCCGTGGCTACATGTGGCAGTCAAATGTTAACGCGAACTAAGTCCTTAGTTCGAGTTAACTGTTACACCTCGTGGAAAAACTGGGGGGATTATATTGTGTTATCTTGACAAATCATATCTGCAGCATTTTGCAGTATTTTCAAACATTGTGTGTGGAATTTTTCATTTGTTCACGTAGAATCTTTATTCATTTTTTCATGCAGAATTCCCCCAAGGAGTGTTTAATCTGATCTATAGGCTGAAAAGCTTGGGGCTACACAGGACAAATCAGGATCCTGAAAGGGAAACAGGAGTCAAGAAAGGTTCAGAGCTCCGGTCTGCAGGGTCCTTTCCCTCTGAGATGTGGCTACCTCTGGGGTGTGTCACGGGGGCTGTTTATGCAGGTGACAGGGAGGAATTCGGGGGGCTGCTATGGGGAATGGGGTGAGGTTAGAGGTGCTGGAACAACTCGTATAGTGGGAATGTCAAGAGCTACTCAGTCAAACTGCAAAACCTGGATAGGATGGAGACCACTTTAAGCCTGGCGATGCAGCACCTATTGAGGGGTAGGGAGTGATGGGAGGGGGCATTGCAGAATTCACCCTAGAATTGAAGCTGGAAGGTCTATTCTCACTTTCTTTCCTGGGTTGCGGGGGAATCGGACACAGCGCCTCAGGACTGATTCCCTAAACATTCACACACCATGTGTGGCTCCGTCCCCATAGAACTGCCCTCCTCTTCCCAGAGAGTGGAAGGAGGAAAGGGATGACTCAGTGGGGATGGGAGACACTTACGAAGCTGAGTGACATTGAGCCTCCAAAGTCTCTGAGGTGGGCAGCTCCGTGCAAGCCTCAGACAACTTGGCTCAGCTCTGGGGCCCTTAGTGATGAAGAGTCTGAGAAACCATCAGCAGAGATGGTCACTCACATTTGGGGCCGCTGCAGCCCAAGAGCAGGAGTTGGCCTGAGCTGCAGCCACTTTTTTACAAAAATTCCTTGAGAGGCATCAGAGCTGGGTTGGACCCCGGAAGTGTCTCTGGGTCAGGCGTGGTTTCTGGTTGAGCCCCACCACCCTTCCCTCTCGGTCACCCTGTGAACACCCGTGTCAAGGCTGTTCCCCACAAGAGCTCTCCAAAACCTTGCCTCTACAGGTTCTGGTACAAAAACTTGTCCCCAAAATCCTAATATCCAGAGTCTGGGGAATCTGCTGCCACTACCCAAGGGAAGAGATCACTTGGGAAACCTCCTCCCTAAGGTAAAACTTTCCCCCTCCCCCAACCTCCATTTTGCTTGGAGTCGGGAAACATAGAGGCTATGTCTAGACTGGCATGATTTTGCGGAAATATTTTTAACGGAAAAGTTTTTCCGTTAAAAGTGTATCCGCAAAAGCACGTCTAGATTGGCACGGATGCTTTTGCGCAAAAAGTGCTTTTGTGCAAAAGCATCTGTGGCCAGTGTAGATGCGATTTTGCGCAAGAAAGCCCCGATCGCCATTTTAGCCATTGGGGCTTTTTTGCACAAAACAGTTCTTCCCTGTCTACACTTGAGCACGTATTCTTGTGCAAGAGGGCTTTTTCCCGAGCGGGAGCGTGAAAGTATTTGCACAAGAAGCACTGATTTTGTACATTACAAAGTCAGTGCTCTTGCACAAATTCAAGCGGCCAGTCTAGATGCACCCAGAGGGAATCTACAGTCAACAATGGACTCTTCCCTTGTAACTAGGCACTGAGTCCTAAGGACACAATAATCAACCAATCCCGGTTCATTCGAAAAAAGAAACAATCATTTATTATCAAAACAAAATTACAGTTGCAAGCATAGTCAAGTGGCTAGATGGAAAGAGACACCAATTGATATAGATACTCAGGGAAACCCCCTGGGCTAAAACTTAGTTACAAAGAAAAAAAAATGCAATTTCCAGCTCAGACATTAGTTCCAAATTCCCAAACAAGGAAAATAACAAATCCTGATGGACTACCTAAACTTTTCTCTATTTACACATTGTAAGAAGTCCATTATTGGAGAGAAAAGTGTCTCCCATCTCCCCCAGTCTTGGAAGAAACTGCTCTGCCTCTCAAACACAGAAGAGAGAGAGAGAGTGAGAGAAAACCCTCTCTTCCAGTTTGAAATTCCTACCTGCATTATTATTGGCTGACCACTCAATACCTGGGTAGATACAGGAGACATTAGTTAACCCCTTAGGCAGCGGGGGCTGGTCAGCACCCCTGATTATGACAGCCTGTGAGAGGCCTCCCCAGGCAGCAGGCACATGAATCTCTTGCTCTGTTGGACGTGGGGCTCCCGACAGGCACCCCACTGCTAGGTGCTGCCCATCCCAGACTCGCCCAGCTCAGAGCCATCAGTCAGCCTGCAGCCAGGCCAGAGCTCACAACAGGGGTCTCCAGACAACCCCCAGCTCCCTGCCCCACATGAGCTGCCCCCTGTGGCTCTGCTCAGAGCCTGGCCAGGGACAGATCAGTGCACAGCCTATCCCTCTCCCGACAGAGAGAGCCTCTGCCCCTCTCTGGGAGCTGAGCTGGGGTTTCCCTAGCCCTGCAACAAGAACACAGGGGGCGGGGGTGGGCAGACACGGCAAACAGGGTGATTAACTGCAGCCAGAGCCAGGCCGGGATGGGGAGCAGCCAGCACGGCAGTCACAGCTGGCACCTGAGAAACAGAAGGGAACTGATTTTAAAGAGGAATAAGCCCCGAGCCGGAAAAAAGCGGCAGCCATGTTCATGCAAATGCCGTGGGGAAAATTTAAATCCCCGGGGCATTTGCAATTCCGACTGGTCTCATTAGCATCCCTTTTCTGGAAAAGGGTGCCAATGTAGACACAGCCTACGAGTTTTGCTGGAAGAGGCAATGCAAATGAAGCGCAGATTAGCATTTTCTCATGCTTCATTTCCATAATCTCTCCCAATCTGTTGTTGCACAAAAACAAGCAGGGCAGACGTTTCCTTTTTGCACAAGATCCATGTGCCTCAAACACTCGCAGTTTCTAGTGCCGGGTAGCCCCTGGAATCAGAGTTAAATTTGCTTCCCTCCCCAAAATGACACTGTAGAGAGCAATGAAAAAGGCTCTCTGGGTGGACAGGACAGTGAAAAGAGAGAGAGAGAGAGAGTTTATAAACCCTCTGGAACTGACTGGTGCCAAGCCAGAGAATGTTTTAGACTGTGGGAAGTCAATATTGCTTAGTAGTGTTACCAACACTTCCCCTGCTTGCTGGGCAGGAGGGGAACATTTAGGGGTAAATATGAGCTAACTAACAGCACAGAACACCCTGAGCCAGGACTGGTGGCGATAAAAAAACTTGATGGGACCTCAATAAACTAGGCCAAACCCATGAAAAGTGGGCATGTGGCTAACTGAAATCATGCTGATGACATGTTGCCCGACCAGAGTGGTTCAGCCTTTAGTGGCTAACTGAAATCATGCTGATGACAGATGTTGCCCGACCAGAGTGATTCAGCCTTTATTTGTTCTCAGGGTGGATACTTACAGATTATGATCCAGTGACCCCTTCACATTTTCTCAGGGTGGATACTTACAGACTATGATCCAGTGACCCCTTCACATTTTTCTTGTTAAACTACATAGACTGCTCTTCTTGTGTCTCTCACACTAAGGCGGGTTCTTCATTCTCCTCACACTTCCCTGCAGAAAACTGAAAATCTACTTGCCAAAATACAATCTGGAGATCAAAAGGAGCCGACAGCAGCCAGTGAACAGAATTCTTTCTCCATGCCATGTTCACCAATACCGTCTATTCCCCTATTCAGCTGGCTCCAGCCTTGACTGGTCAGCGGTGTCGGGATTGTGTGCGCATTTCTGGTACCTCAGAAACTCTTCTTCCATGGTGAGGTAGAAGATGGGGTTGAGGGTGCTGTTGATATATGTCAGGACACAAGCAAATGCGCTTCCTATTTCCAGAAGAGGCGGAGGATGCATAGCTGAGAGCTGCAGGAAGTAGAAGACGTGATATGGCAGCCAGCCGAGGAAAAAGGACAGGATCAAGCTGTGAAGGATCTTGAGAGGCTGGGTGGCCTGGATTGGATGGTTCCTTCTCAGCCTGGCAGCATGAATGACGTAGAAGATTGAGATGAAGATCAAGGCTAATGGGATCAGGAACCCGACCAGGAATTGGATTGCAACGGCGACCTTTGCCCTCCCTTCATCCAGTGGGAAATGCATGCTGGTGCTGGCAGTTGAGGGGAGGAATTCACAGAGGTCACCGTACCGCAAGCTGAACCCAGCAGACAGGGCCCATACACATAGACCCTCCCAGAAGGCCAGGGAAGCTGTGCGGTGTTTCTGGGCCCACTCAGGCCATGCAGTGAGCATGCAGCGATGGACGCTGATGGCCGTGAGGAGGAAGGTGCTGGAGAACATGTGCAGGGAGGTGATGGTGCTGCTCAGCCTCCTGGCCCAGTCTAAGTTGGAGATGAAGATGATGATGAATCTGAGGGGCAGGCAGAGGATGAAGATGAAATCGGACACGGCCTGGTTCAGGAACCACACGGTGCTGGCCGTCCTTTCCATACGGCAGCCGGTGACGAAGAGGACGTACCCGTTGCACAACACCCCGGTTGGGAAGGCCATGCAGCAGAGCACCAGCAAGATGGTCCTGTACACCATTCTTGGAGGAGCTGCTGTCACAGTATCTCCCCCTTCTCCTCAAGGCTGGGGCAGGGCAGGGCCAATGTTGTTCTGAGGGAAGGAAGGAAGAGCAATGAAAAGGGCTCCAGGAGAAGACAAAGAGAGACAGATGCAGAGTTAATGATCTTCCAAATCCTGAGCTGAACTCAGACCGACCATTGGCCCCATTGGCTGGAAGACCTTCGAAGAACAGAATGACAGGGTGAGCAGTGGGGGTGAAATTGTCGTCTCATCTGAGCCCTGCCAAGATACAGCGTTTGTTGTGTCTATCCTCAGCCTGAATGGTTTGTGTTTCTACACAATAGCAGGGATTTTAACTAAACCAAATGTATATATTTTTAAAAACCCACATTTGCTTCTTGCTCAAAAGTTGGATTTCTAGGCAACATAATTTTAACTAAACCAAATGTATATATTTTTAAAAACCCACATTTGCTTCTTGCTCAAAAGTTGGATTTTTAGGCAACATAGTGACCTGGGAGCAAAGACAGAGACATATGATACAGACCTATCTCCCCCAAAGTCCCAAATGTTCGTCTTACTCATAGTGTCCCGCAGTGCTGGCAATCCCACGTTGGATCAATGTTAAAAATTAACAAATTATCCTTTCATCTATTTTTAATAATCAAATTTTTTAAATCCATTTTTCTCCCGCCGCTCTGCATGTTGAAGCAGACATTTTGGGTTTGAGGCTTATGGGGGTGAGTTACTGGAGCAGGCAAAATCCCCACAGAGCCCTTCTTCCCCCCAACATGGAAACCTCTGGTGATGAAAAGGTTCCAAAGAGGAGGAAGGTGAGATAAAAAAGCCACCCGGAAAAATGCCAGAGGGTGAAGAGAGCAGGAACAAGCCAAAAGTTTTATTTTTAATGAAAGGACATTTCTAGAGTCTATTTTGCTGTATAGACCAGGAGTCAGGACTCCTGGTTTCATCCCAGACTCTGCCACTAAAATGCTCACGGGGTTTGGGCAAGGCACATCATGGCTCTGTGCCTCAGGTTCCCCTCTGACCATTTGCCTGTTTAGAGTGTGAGTTGGCTGTGGCCAGACTGTTTCTCCCTGTGGATTGGGGCAGCACCTGGTATAACGGGACCCCGAACTCTGTCAGGGTCAGTACAATATCCGGTGAAGTCGGTCAGAGTCAGTGCAGCACCCTAAACTCTGAGTATGGGATGGGCCAGCTCCATCTGGAGGGGATGAGAAGAGGAGCTGGGGAGAGCAGAAGGGGGAGATCAAGGGGACAGCAATGGGGGATGGAATGAGATCTAATGGGCAGCCGGAGAGTTTCTGTCTATTCCTTACCCGTGTCTCAGGCGGATGCAGCGATGCAGAGACGACCCCTGTCCCAGGTCCCCTCACGATGCCTGCAGCTCACCCAGACTGGCCCAGCCAGCAACAAGAAGCCGTTCACATGGGGGGGATCTCTGTGGGGAGGGAGCCGTGGGGGGAGATCACAGGACGTGGCTGGGTCTGATCACGTCTGCAAAGCCTGGAAGGCCTCCGGCTCCCACAGCTCTACGCAGAGCTCACACGAACCACAAGCTCCCCCCGCTGGGCCCCAGCATGGTGTCAGCATTTGGCTCCCACATCCTGGGGCCAGCAGGTGAAACACTCAGTGGGGAGTTGGGGCTGAGACAGTCACGTCCAGCCAGGTCCCAGAAGCAGAGACACCAGCTGGGTCTCTGCTCCCTGGCCCTCCTGGCTGGGAACAAGACCAGACCCGCTGGGAGTCAGCTGCTAAGGAAACCCTCGCGCTGGGCTAGAGACCACACAAACCACAGCCCGGCCTCCAACCGGCCTGGGGCGCGTTTCGGTTCAGCCTGAATCCTCAGGGCAGCCAGGGCCAGGCCAGCCTGGGCCCCGTCCCCAAGGAACCTCTCTGGGGTGCAGGGAGAGGGTTTCTCCATTGGATTAGGGATGTAAAATGTCAATGAGGGGCGTCAAATCTCAGAGGTGCTGAATGACTGAGGAGGGGTCAGAGAAGGGCCTGGAGGATGATTAACGGCCAGGAGCCCAGCTGGGGCAGAGACAAAGTCTGCAAGCACTGGCTATTTATAGCGTTTTCAGCTTGCAAAACTTGCTGCTGCTGCCTGTACCTTAGGACCAGGTCTACACTACCGGAGAGATGGATTTCCACTCCATACAGCTGAATGTCGTGCCTTGCATGTTCAAAAGTTAAGATATACAACTCCAATTTCTCTCATTACCTTCCCTTACTCCTTATGACCCCATGGAGTATGGGAGTTGACAGGGGCATTATCAGCGGTCAATTTAGGAGGTCCTTACTAGACCTGCTAAATCAAACCCCAGAAGATCGATCTCCAGAGTGTCAATTTCTGGGTAAGTGCAGACAAGCCCCAAGACAACTGTGAGAGTTAATCTCTCTAGGCTCAGGTCTCCCCATCTTCCTAAGCTGTTCTGCACACCCCACCGCTTTGCTCTGCCTCGCCTCACTTTGACTCTCTGTGAGTTAATAGTTAAAAGTTCCCTTTTTTATAGAACCGTCCAAAAAATAAAACAATTGAAAACAGAACAAAGCAACAAACAAAAAACCAGGTAAAAGCTTTACTTTAAATACATCCAGTCAATGAATTATTTTAACCCTGGCGTGTGCAACAGCTGGAATTACTCCTAACTTTTTGGAAAATATGATTCCTTAGCATCAGAAATGCTGCCCCTGCTTCTAAGTCTAAGACTAATATTTGAAACTTCGGCTTTTCTTATTACCACAAAGCATAGTTTTAAATTGGAGTTAATATAAAGTAATGGAAAATTAAATAAGTGACTAAATTAATAGAACAAATTTGGCAAATATTAATATAAATTGTATCCATTTTTATTAAGTTTTAATGAGACATGTAATAACTTACCTATTTACATGTTTAGCCCTTTTGTTTCTTTTTGTTTGTGTGTTTGTTTTTGATTTATCTATTATATATTTGAGAGAGTTTGTCTGTTTTTTTTCAAGACCTCCTAAACGGTAAGAGCCAGGACCACCAAATTCGGCATGACAACCGAAAGCAATGTCAGGGTTTGCTTGTGCTTGGAAAATGGGATGTGCCTGGAATGGGATTGCTTCTCGTCAAACCAAGCAGAAAAAAAGAGACGGAATCAAGACATCACTGAGCAAACATTGAAACATACTGAACCAAGATGAGCCAGAAAAACAGGATGAACTTGCAAGAGGATCGCTTCTCATAGAAAAGAGATAAAATGGAGATTTTTGGAATAGCGCTCTGTCAGGGCACAGCTAACTCCATTATTGAGCTTTGAAAACTAGAAGACAATGTTATTGGAAATGAAATGGTCTACAGCCATTTTTTTAAATTAAAACATAGCGACTGATAAGAGTTTATAGGGATGAAGAAAAACCTCCCCACACTTAATGGAATTCGCATTTTAAAAAAATTAAACTAAAAAAATGTTAACAATCCCTTTCTTTAAAGAAATCCAAAATAAACATGAACATCATAAAAATAACACTGTATTAAAAAAAAACCCAGTCACTTCAATCAAGCATGTACCTTTTCCTTTTATTAAAAAACCCACAACCCTGAATTAAGGATCTGAGATAAATGTGCTCGTCTTGTTTAGTTATAAATAGAATTCTGGCGCCATGCGTTTGTAAGTGTAAGTTGTCCTGTATGTTATGTATGTTGTCCTTTGTTGAGTGCTGTGTGTTACATGGCTAGTTTTAATTCTCATTTTGTTGCAACAAAAGTCCATTTCATACCCTTTTACTTAAAAACGTAGCCCCAGCACCCAACAGGGAGCTGTGTCTTTAAGAGACCCCGGGGGGAACGACGGGGGGAGTGTGAGCTTGGGCTGTGTCTGGGTCACTGTTGCTGGGCTGATTTAGCCTCCACAGCCTGACGCTCCTGGAGTTCGGGGCAGCGGGTCTGTGGCTTAGAAAACAGCCCTGCTCTGTTGTAAAACCCAGATGATTATTTGTGTCCTCATCACAAGATTTGATAAAATTATTTAATTAAATTCGATCCTTGTGGGACTTGAAGGGGGGAGGCTGGCCCTGTGCTGGCCCTGCTGAAAGTCCTTAGAGACCGAACGCTGGGTCACCAGCTACTCTCTGTGGGAGTTGGGTGTTTTTTTAAGGCACTGGAGAAGGGCGGGGAAGTCTGGCCCAACCAAGCTTACATGAGCACTTTCCGAAGCAGTCCCAATTACTCCCAGTTCCTACGCTGTGGGAGTTGGGTGTTTTTTTAAGGCACTGGAGAAGGGCGGGGAAGTCTGGCCCAACCAAGCTTACATGAGCACTTTCCGAAGCAGTCCCAATTACTCCCAGTTCCTACGAGGGTTGCCAGATACCTTCACAAAAAATCCTGAACTGTCAGGGAAAAATTGGTTGCGAACAAAAAAAAAAGAAGTTTCTGTGACTTTAAATTACCATGCTCCTAGCTCCCCTGCTCTCGCAGATGCTGCCGGCCATCCCTCCGAGGAAAACAGAAAATACCAGACATTTTACATCTCCGGTATTCTCTGTTTTTTTACTGGACAGAAGTCCAAAGTACCAAACTGTCCAGGCCAAAACCGGACACCTGGCAATCCTAGTTCCTACCCTGCAGACCCTTCCCAGGCAGAGCCAGAGTCCCTCCCCTGCAGGGAAAATCCCCAACAGCCTCTGAAATGTCCTGCTCCATCAAAGCCTCCACCAGCTCCAGCTTCCAGCAGCAGCTCCTGGTCTGGGCCCAGCTCCACACCAGCCACCTGGCTCCTCCCTGCAAACTGGAGCCCACCACCTGCTCTCCCTGCATTGCCTGGAAGAGAAGCCATTTCCCCCCTTTTCCCAAGGGATCATGGGAGTTGTAGTCTCTATGGCTAGATTGCAGACTCTTCCCAGAAAAGTCAGAGGCTCCTATAGGAAAAGGGGCCTAGGATAGAGAGGGATCAGTTTGTCAAAATCCACTGAACATTTTTGTTGTCTGTTTTGTTACATATCTGCTGACAGGCATTTTGAAATGAATG